TTACATTAAAATGTAAATAAAGGAAAAATAGTTCATAATAAAACGATGGTGACCGCTGATTCTCGCCGATACGTGCCAGAATAATTGTCGATTGGCCATAAGTAACATGTGCAGGCTGTTAGTGCCTTATTTTTAAGACCGTTCCTGTAGTCATTTTATTAAATATAAACTTATTTTGATAAAGGATTCTTTTATTAACAATAACAATGCGCTTGTTCAACTTCATTATTGTATCCAGAACCTATAACTTTACTATTGTGTATTAATTGTGAGCAGAAAACGGGTGTGTGTATAGGTAGGTAGGTATAAGTAAAAGAGAGTAAGTATAATTCATTGTAGTTTAATTATTTTAAAAAATTTAGGTACATTTTTACATTTTATTTGTGATAACAATCCAGAGTTACAGAAACAGACAATCATCCGTCTTCGACAATTTCAGTCTTTAAACAATAGATCTATCTCGCGCAAACAAACTAACAGTCACACGGCCTAACACTGCGTTGTGCATATCTTCGGAACATCGTGCTGTGTTCAACAACATAACACGAATAATACTTAAAACCAAATAAACTCAACCACCCATCAAAAGCTTAAATTGCTAAATGCAAAGTAATTCACCACTAAGAAAATTATTCACTATAGGATTCAATATTAAGTGTCACTTTAATTGGCAATAAACAAAATATCCCTATGAAATTCTGATATATTTGGACTCGAAGCCCTTGGTTATTATATTAAAATATATATTTTTATATGTTTCGTATATTATAGTTACTACATTGATTTTATATTGAAACTACTTTGTATTGCAACATAATTGTATGTACAATCTAAGGCATGTATTGCGATGCGAGCCAATGGATCGCATAATATTAGCTATGTATTCGTATATGACATCCACGCACCCAAATAACTATAGGCACTTGGTATAGAACATTATTTTCAATATTTACATTACACCATTTACAGGATAAACATGCACCTAAGAGGAAATGCGTAGGTATACATCGGACAGCGCAATTGACTAAAATACTACATAAATATGTTTGGGCTAAAGTCCTTAATAAAATGCAGCTATTAAATAAAAATAACCTTATTAAATTAGTTATTTGGTCCGAGATAACACACTCCGTCTAGGTGCATTTCGGAAGCAATCTTCGACACTTACACAACATTATTTGGCAATTTACAAGTACATTTTAGTGATATTTTACGTTTTTGAACACATTGATTTGTAAATCATATCCATCATGTATAAACACATGTTGCGAGCATCTTTTACAACAATTATATAACATTTATGAGCCAGGAAAACACACTGATTGTCCCCTCCGGATTATTGCTTGCGCTCTTGGCGCTTCACTAATATCATACATGACTTATGCCCGTTTTCACTATCAATCCCTAATTTTTAAGTGGCCCCTTTGAAAACAAAATTCCTGTCGTGTTGCCATAGGGGTCACTTAAAAACTAAGGATTGATGGTGAAAACAGGTATTAGGTCTTTCAGCTAGGTCTCAAATTCCATCGCCCACACTACAAAACAAACATTGTAGGAAGCAAACACTGTAAAATTAGACATTTTTGGTGTATAATACTGTACAAATCCTGTGTGACAATGCTCATAAGTAAAAAATTCGAACATTCTGTGACTATAAAAATATCAGAAGTGAGATGTCTAAAACATTAAATTCTGTTTTCTGTTGCTTCCTATAATGTTTAAAATAAAAAAAATTCTGTCTTGAACAGACATACGCACCTCTAATATATACAAATAGTTCATCGCAATACAAGTTCATGGAAGATTTGGTACATATGGAATAAAGGATACGAATATGAAAACGAAACAAACACCTCGAAGAAACTAAAACATATATACACGTTCGTTATAAAATAATAATGCGTTGCATTAACTTATTACAGCCTACACTTAAACATTTGTGAAACAATTAACATGATGTTATATTACTTATAATTAAAAACAACGGTCGTTACAGCACTCAACAGACTCATACATATACATACAGATCACATAAATAAATGCCAACTAGTGGGGCTCCGATCCACCTTTGAATTCATATAAAAACTACTGTATTTACATGGCGGACGCGTCGCGTTCCTTGCGTAAATTAGACTAGCTTACTATAATATTGGAGCAGAAATAATGATATCGTGTCAACAAAATATAATAAGGGGCAAGGAATACGTGCGACCGCATTTTAATTATAACCCTTAAAATAAACATTTGGATATTAGAAAAATAGCCGAGCTTGCGGGACTTTCGTGGACTGGCGGTCCTGTGCACCTAGACAATGCAACATTCGTTGTAGATATCGATAAGTCGCACACATCTACAGCTGTAGGACTTTGGGACATAGCGATTACGAATGTTTACACTGTCTACAGGCAATACAATGGAGCAAGGGACGCTTTATCTACTTATACAAAGCTATTTAAATAAATAAAAATATTTCAAAGATAAAGTCACAAAAAAACAAAATTACAAGTTCAAGATTTTATAACTTGCAAATGCTAAATAGAACAAGTTATTGCACTAAAATGATATAAATTAGAATTCAAAATAGCCCTGTACAAATTAAGGATGTCGCGTCGTACTCATTTATTCCCAACTGCCTAAGGTATATTGACATTGCCACGTGACGTTCGCTGGGCGTGGCCTACAAGTGACATTGAAACAATGTGGGCGGGGCTATCCGCTGTCTCATACAAACGCCCCACGTAAGCCCCGTGGCTACGTAAATATAACCAACTGAGTGCAACTATTCGTAACTTCCCGAAATACGCCGCCATTTTGTACTTATTGCATTTGTGGTGAAATTATTTCAAACTAGAATAAACTGGAAACATAGAATACTGTTCTATGAACTTGAAAGCTATCTTACAATAGGCGAAGAGAGACTAAATGTATTATTGCGTTTCATAAAATACCCTGTACATTTGTCTAACTTTATAAATGAGTTAATAATTAATAATAATTCGGTTAATATAATCCGTAATATACAAGGCTATACAGTGCTTATTATGTATATGTATAAGTTAGTAAGTTAACTGAACTAATGACAAGTGTTTTGACATCGGCAATGTGCAGAATAGGAGGGTTAGAGTTTGCAAAAATGGCAACAATTCTGAAATTACAGCCACCACTAGGTATAAAACTTCTTTTATTTCTTGTATTTATTCATAATTTCACTTAAGATTTGTCATGAAGTTTCCTGAACCTCCCCAGATCAAAATATCTGCTATATAATATATAATAGCTATAATAGCTCTGAGGAAGGAGGAGACGGTAGGAATTTTAGTTTCAAAAATAAAAAGTTCATATCATGGGTTTCAAGCCAGACGGTTACAAAAATGTAAGTATTGCTTTATTTCATTAATATCACTTGTGATGTGTCTACAATATTTACATTTTTGTATAGCTTCTCGTTGGCTTATTCCCACGATATAAATTTAATTGCCAAATTCGTTTCAGTGGCAAATTTCAAAATAGTAAGGGAAGGTATTTTTAATATGTATTCCAGTTTGTTCTATCACAAGTTGATTGAAAACAATCAAAATGTTTAGGCCATTATTACGCGATCACTCGCTTCCAGATGGGACTCGATAAATAAAACCCAGAGATAAAATATAAACTTAATTGTTCTTATTGCGAATAATTACACTAGACATATTATTTACAGTTTCAGAAGACGCGTATTATACAATTTAAAGAGGGGTCACGAGCGCGTTCTTATTTCTATAGTTGCGTTATAAAATACAGGGTGACGTTTCATTGAACATTCGATTTTGACACATGAGCGCCCTCTACACTCAGTCAAGTTGTAGATGTTACGCGATTTGAATTCTCAATTCAAAGACTTGAAAGATAAATTCGTATATCACCCTGTATGAACACCAGACGAACGCGCACGCGCATACAATATGTAAAAGTCCTGTCTGATACAAAAGGTTATGATTCTGGTGGTACGTACATTTTGTATCGGACCAGCATTAAAATACAAATTAATTAGTATGGAGAAGTATATTTTCTGAGCTTTTGTCCCATACAAAAAACCGTTATAAGTAAGGCATCAGAATCACCCCTTTCGGTTCAGCCAAGGTTTATAGTACTGTAAAGCGCGACCCCTCTGTATGCATCGGCCCGCTGGTAACTAGCTATGCTCAAAACTTTGGTTATCATAATTTTGGTACGCGCCATGCAAGCCACCTCTCTCGACCAGTCACTGGCCCCATACAAATTCAAGAAACCCGTCGTTCGAATAGGTGAATGACATTCGTAGTTCTTGAAAAGAAACAGTTACTTACATAAATATGAAATTATATTATTTCGATCTACCTTCAGTTCGTTTAAATTTTGTTGCAATTTCGTTTGTCTTATTGTCAAAATCATGATGCATAATTTGCGCGAATAATAAATATTGTGTTGGGGCCTCTCATATAGTTGATAAAGGGAACCAAAGACAAACAAGCATCTCATGGCTTTAGATAAAATGCTAATTTTATGAGTTATCTGTCACAAACATATAAATTCTTATTGTCATATTTTGCAAACGTGATAATTGAGTTTTAGCACAATTAGCGAGTATTTTAAGAACATAGGAACTGTGAAGATTATCTACATAATATCTATGAGTGTACAATTAACTTATTATTCGTAAAAATCGATGACTACATGGACGTACGATGATTTCATTTTGTCATACTTAGGTATAAATACATGTTAATAATAAAAAGCAGTACTGGTACAACTATAGATAGTTGTAATTTGATTTGACTAAATATTGGTAAAGCCCGGTCTGTGAGCACTTAGAATTTTGTCCAATGAATGCTCGCACACTCACTGCGGGTGCCAGTCGCACAGTCGCGACAGCAATATAATTACGCACGAGCGATAAGGATGGGTAGCTTGGGGTCATTGGACAAAATTCTACGTGCTCGCAGACCAGACTATACACAAATAGTTCGTGATACCCAAATTGGTCAAAAAGTTTATTCCAATTGTGACAGACTTGTTGGCAACGTTTTGGCTACTTTGTCATCATTTGACGCTGACTGTACACCTTATTAGTGTCTATTGTTGTAACTATTTCATCTTTTTATGCTGCGAAGCTACGAATGTCTCACCTGTTCGATCGACGGCGCTCTCTACAATAAATTACACTAGATCACATAGTCAATTGGTCTAACACTCAAGCACCGTTTGGAAAAGTCTTTTTCACTAGCTTATTTCAAGCCGAGGCGTCCATTATCACTCACACAATATGTATGGAATACATATTTAGCAGCATTGTCTTTTAGGTACACTTGGTAGATCTTTTACTGCTTTGAATTATTGTTAATTATTATTATTTTGTCTTGATCAGCTAATTACCTGTCACATTACAATAATACTGAATGGGAATGAGTGTGGTTTTAATCTACAGGTTTAATAAAACAATAGTTGGTGACTGATACCAATTTTATACTTCATAATGTCGATATGTTAGATACAGTACGATTTTATATATTTCATAGGCACCAAAACCTCATCTCTCATAGATCTCTTACTATGTTAAATTAAAAGACTAGATTTCCCGAAATGTTATATTATTTTCAACAATATTTACAACAAAATATGATTACAAGCGCCCGGAAAACATCTCTAAACGAATACATTGTGTACTACTGCAATTTGACAAGTAACCATCTGACCAGAGACAATCTATGCGGCACGGAGTCCACAGCACAGCTGGGGCTACTAGACTTCTTGTCTATGGCCGTACCCTGTAGAGCTTCTTGTGACACTGACCATAAACAGCATAACTGCAATTACAACATCGCTTACGAAAAGTTCAGATGAGGTACATTGGCGTAGGATCACTGTGGTTGTCTATTCCAAATCGAAAACCCAGAGAATCATCTTAACCGACGTTAATGTGTGGTCAGGGACCAAAAATGGTATAAATATTAATGTAGAAAAAACTCGACAAATGAGCGTTGACAACCGAATAAAACAAAATATAATCATGCGTTCTCACGCGATGTTATATTGTGGACACCAGTGTGTCAAAACAGGACTAATCGCTTTGGAATAGAAGCCACCAGTCACGCTCTTTCCTAGGCCAGTGGAGTAGCACCAAGAACAGACAATCACCAGGATCGCGTTAGTAGTACACAAAGCCGCGGTCACTCACAGCGGGGCGTTCGCGGGGAGTAGGCGGGGCGTAGACGGGGCGTCCGCGGGGCGTGCGCTACTTGACGGGCAGCGGCTCGTCGGCGCGCTCGCGGTAGGGCTCCTTGTCGTCGTCGGCGCCGCGCCGCGCCTCCTGTTCGCGTTGCTGCCGCCGCCGCTGTTTTGACCACAGCTCGTGGCAGTCTTGCCATGTTGGGAGAGACGGCGCGCCCATCCTGTGGATAAATAACGACGTGTAAATAATAAGAATAGTAAGACAAGTATACTTACTTTACACTCGTTTATTAATTCTGGGCTTTGTGGAACTAGTATCTGACGGTGAGTTCAGCAGAATCCGTCGCACTCATGGCAAATGGTACGCCGCCGAGTAATGGTTTTATGTATGTGGCACATTTCCGTCTCAAAATAATTACGACAGCAAAATTAGTGAACATACGACATGTAGCGGCAATATGATACCAGCACGCCGACACATCTATTTAGTTACTTGGCTCCTACAACGGTCGGATTCGCAGTGCTTGGGTGCTCGGGTACAATACTCCCGCAGTAGTTAGGTACAACACTCGCGCAGCGCTTTGATGCTCAGGCACAATACTCGGAACCTTTCGGATGCTCGGGTAAAAAAATGTGTTCGGGTACAATACTCTCGCAATACCCATGTGCTCGGGTACAATACTCCCGAAATCCCCATGTGCTCGGGTACAATACTCCCGCAGTGTTTTTGTGCTCGGGTACAATAACTCTCGCAACGCATAGGGTGTGATCAGATACTCACTGGTCGGGCACGACGTTCTTGAGCCACGGGCTCTTGAGCGCGTCCTCAGCCGTGATACGACGCTCGGGATTGAGCTCGAGCATTCGGTCGAGGAGCGTGAGCGCGTGCGGAGGCATGAAGACAAATTGCTCGCGCACACAGCACTCGGGTGCCAAGGTACAGGGTGCCAGGGAACGATACTCACTGGTCAGGCACAATGTTCTTGAGCCACGGGCTCTTGAGCGCGTCTTCAGCGGTAATACGGCGCTCAGGATCGAGCTCGAGCATTCGGTCGAGGAGCGTGAGCGCGTGTGGCGGCATGAAGGCGAACAGCTCGCACATACAGCACTCGGGTGCCAGGGTACAGGGTAACAGGGTACAGTGTGCCAGGGTACAGTGTGCCAGGGAATGATACTCACTGGTCAGGCACGACGTTCTTCAGCCACGGGCTCTTGAGCGCGTCTTCAGCGGTAATACGACGCTCAGGATCGAGCTCGAGCATTCGGTCGAGGAGCGTGAGCGCGTGTGGCGGCATGAAGGCGAACAACTCGCACATACAGCACTCGGGTGCCAGGGTACAGGGTAACAGGGTACAGTGTGCCAGGGTACAGTGTGCCAGGGAATGATACTCACTGGTCAGGCACGACGTTCTTCAGCCACGGGCTCTTGAGCGCGTCTTCAGCGGTAATACGACGCTCAGGATCGAGCTCGAGCATTCGGTCGAGGAGCGTGAGCGCGTGTGGCGGCATGAAGGCGAACAACTCGCACATACAGCACTCGGGTGCCAGGGTACAGGGTAACAGGGTACAGTGTGCCAGGGTACAGGGTGCCAAGGTACAGTGTGCCAGGGTACAGGGTGCCAGGGAATGATACTCACTGGTCAGGCACGACGTTCTTCAGCCACGGGCTCTTGAGAGCGTCCTCAGCGGTAATACGACGCTCGGGATCGAGCTCGAGCATTCGGTCGAGGAGTGTGAGCGCGTGCGGAGGCATGAAGGCAAACTGCTCGCGAACGCAACGTCGGTGGAAGCGCTTCGGCCGTAGCGTGCCCCATAGAGGCAGGTTGACTACGTTGGGCCATACGCCTGGCGCTGGTGTCCCGCAGACTCGAGAGATCATCTCCAACTGCATCATTTCGACGTTCGCCTGCGGATAACAAAGTGGTTAATGGTTTGTGTGGATTACCACCGGCTAGATTTGAGGTGGACGGACCTCGAGAAGATAGAAGGCAGTCAGATGAAAATTGTGGAAGATCATGTTTTGGGGCGAACTTCGGAGAAGGCTTACATCTAGTAACTAGTACTGTGTGTGGGTAAGTGGACAACCATTGGCTGAAATTAAGATCTAGTTCCTAAGGAGTTTGATAAAAAGGCCACCTATAACTGTGTTATGCTAACGAAAAATGCTCTGAAGACGAGTTTTAGATCCGAATCCGATTAACAAAGCGCAATGGACACCTTCGTGTTACCTCGAAACCCCGCATAAACACAACCACAGCTGTATGGATGAACTATACGACTTACGCTTGCACTCGCCAACTGTTATTTCATAGAAAACTTAACCTCTACTTTGACATTGTAGTGTGTTAAAGTTGACGTGTTTCACCCCACCCCGTAGCCCCATTCGGAATACCACTGACCTGGAATAGCGGGTGCTTCAGGAACAGTTCTCCCAGTATGCAGCCCATGGACCAAACATCAACTGCAGGCCCGTAGCGCTCTTCGCCTAGCAATAATTCGGGCGGCCGGTACCATAAGGTGATGACTTTGTTGGTGTAGGGCCGCGCGCGGTCCTCAGCCGACCAGAGCCTCGCCAGACCAAAGTCACCGAGCTTCACTTCGCCTCTGAGAATGGAAAGAATCATAAATAAAATATTTTTAAACGTTTAAAAAGAACTTGCCCGCCCCAACCTATCTAGTCTGCGTGGGAAATGCAGGCTAAAAGGTTTTTCGTTCGTTCGTTTCAGCCCTATGAAGGACAAAGGCCTCCCCCAAGGATTTCCATAACGACCGGTCCTGCGCTGCCCGCATCCAGGCTCTTCCCGCGACCTTCGCCAGATCGTCGGTCCACCTAGTGGGAGGCCTTCTCACAGTACGTCTTATGGCCCGTGGTCGCCACTCGAGAACTTCTCGTCTGTACGAGCTATGTGCCACTAAAATTTTTTTTTTAAGTATGGTGCTAGAGCTAGGTATCGTATTGCGGTGTGACGTATTTGTTTTTTTTTTGACTGACCTAGCTAAAATCCGGTCGGCGAGCAGATAGAATTTCGTCTAATGACCGACAGTCGCGACAGCAATATAATTACGCGCGAGTGATAAAGATGGGGTCATTGGACGAAATTCTATCTGCTCGGCGACCGGACTTTAGTAGTGCTGCGTAAACTCACTTGTTGTTCATAAGTATGTTGCTGCATTTGATGTCTCTATGAAGGAAGTTCTTCCGATGGCAGTAGGCTAATCCGTCCAGCAGTTGTCGCATAATGGATGCATTGTGCGACTCCGTGAAGTCCACCATTTTGGATTCCAGAAGCCCCATCAGATCATGGTCCATGTACTCGAACACTAGGTAGAATGAGCCCTTGTCCTACAACACACTTTGAAAATTAGCAGAATTCTATGGAAATAAGAAGGTTATGGGTGGGATAACACTGAAAAAAGCTCTAAATTACGTTATTTTCAATTTATGTAATAAATATTACTTTTAGTTATTACTGATTTTGCTGTGATGAAAAAGAATGTTGTATATTGGGGCTAGTTTCAGTTTTTATGAATAAATAAGTTCATTTTCTTATTTAAAAACTTGATAAGAATTTAAATAGATTCCAAAGGCAATAATCGACAAACCAATAAATCTAAAAACAAAACGACTAGTTGAAATAATGGGCAACGTAACTGACAGTAGCAAAAAATACAATAAATGCGAATAATTAATTTCGTACAAAAGAATTTTCAAAAAACATTGCATACCAATTTGTAATCCAAATTCCAAACTACCAACACTACAATTTTGACCAGGGTTTCTTAACGTGTGGCTCATGTCATGACCAGGTGTCATGACATGAGCCACATGTTACATCAATACACATAATAAAAATACATGCCTCATACAAATCAATACATAAATACAATGGAGAACGTTTAGGTTGTTTCTATCATTCAATGGATCAGTACTTTTTCCTACTAACAAACTAGACATATGTATTATTATTTCTATGATACTTTTCTCTCTTCTACTTTTCGTTTGCAATGAGTCAGACCACCAAACTAATGTAACTAAACCTGTATTTACTCGTACTACTCGTCCAGTTCAGGGAAATTTTAAAACTTCACTGACAACAATGTTAAGAAACCCTTCTAATGCTAAAAGAATAAAACAGCGTATCGTTTACCAAACAAGCGAGGCATTCAAGGGGGCTTCGATGCAGCCCTAATAATGTTTCTGCGCCTGACCTGCACACTGACCTTCCTAAAGTCCATCGCGTCTTGTTTGTCCGTGACTATCTCTCTCAAATTCACTATGTTTTTGTGGTTGAGCTGTCTCAAGATCTTGATCTCTCTGACTGCGGTGATAGGGAAGCCTTCTTTCTCGTTCTCAAGACGGACTTTCTTGAGCGCGACCAACGAGCCCGTGTTCTTGTCTTTGGCTTTGTACACCTGCCCGTATGTGCCCTCGCCGATTTGGGTTATCACCTGAAAATTTACAGAATTCTGAAATAATGTTTTTATGATTTTAAAATCAGTCTCTCGAGCAAATATGCGGCAGTTCAAACCATTCTTGGGTGTCTCGTTTCTCAGTGGAAACTGTATTGTCGTTCATGCTAGCCCGAGAGACAGCACGGCAAATCAAGATTTAAACACTAGGAATGAGTTGCACCACCTAACTTTAACGGTGACTGTAACAAATTAACATAAACAATAACCGGTGTTTTTTCTATGGGAGTTTGACAGATTTTTGACGTATGTAAATGTTAAAGTAAGATGGCGCAACCCAGCGTAGGCATCTTCTAATTTCTAGAAATAAAAATATAGAATTTTAGATTTTACTGCATAAAAATATTAATCATCATCATCATTTCAGCCATAGGACGTCCACTGCTGAACATAGAGGCCTCCCCTAATGCTTTTCACGTTGATCGATTGGTAGCAGCCTGCATCCAGCGCTTCCCTGCTACCTTTACGAAAATATTAATTAGCGTAATTATTTTAACAAAGAAATAATTCAATTTCCACCGATGTTGATGGTGTTACCTGGAAGCCGTCGACGCACTTCTCGCCCCAGTCTTTTGCGTGGTGCGTGGGCGTGGCCACCGCCACCACTTTGGAGCCGCGCCGCTTCAGGATGCGCGGCCGCTTCAGCTTGCAGCCCGCCTGCCGAATTAATATTGATCAGATTAATATAACTCTAGGAACACGGACATAAGGATTAAATAAACTAAGTTATATTACCAGTATCTGACTTTGACATTAGGACTGAAGGAAATATTTTATATCCCAAACATTTTACGCCGTGCTATCTAGTGCCAACCCAAACCACCAAGGGCCGTAATGTGAGTTTACGTCAAACGCATTTGATGTCGACAGCGTAAAAGTGTCATTAAATGTATGACGGATTGTACAGCGCCCCTAGCGAAAACTTTCAAGAACTAAAATATTCATATAATTTTTTTAACGCGCTCGCTAGTGACGTTTTATGTAAACTCACACTAAGCCCTCTGGATACAAATATACGTAAATATTGCGGCGAGTCACCAGAAGAGAAGTTTGATCGTCACAAAAATACCCTAACGTGCCGCTCCCATTCCTCAGGCACTGACACGGTTATTAGACCTGTAGTACACATTGTCCTTACTACGGACTTATTACGGTGTAATGGCAGAAGTACATACGTTAGCGTCCCGGGGCTTCCTGGAGAACACGTGGGAGTATTGGTCGCGGGGCGCGGGCGGCGGCGTGGAGCCGTCCAACTCGTCGCCGCTCAGCTCCTCGGAGCCGGGTATCACTGGAACATTGAAATATTGCAAGTGTTTATTGATGTACATATTGCGGTACGTGCAACTAAAGGTTCGGCCAAACCAATGCGATCGACCGGCGTGCAGCGATGGCGATCAATGCATTTAGGTCTGGTCGCCATCGCTGCACGCCGGCTGATCGCGGTGTGATCGCGTTGGTTTGTCCGAACCCTTAGGCGATTATCACACTGCACCGCGCTCCGCCGCGGTACGCGGGACGACAGATTTAATCATTGTATGCAAGTACCTCAGTTTGTATAGAAAACACGCGCGGCACAACACACTGACAACGCGTTTGCGCGCGGGATTCGTTATATGTCGCCACGCGGACCGCGGTGCAGTGTGATAATCGCCTTAATGCAGAAAAAACACACAAAGGGCAAAATTCGCCATCAACCAAAAGAAGAATAACTATCTAAAACTTTGGATTTATTTGTAAGTTTGTTTTGCACAAATTACTAAGCCTAGGCGCAGACAACCGATTTTTATTTGGCCGATAGTTGGGTCGGGCTGTTAATCAGTATGGAGATGTATGAAAGTTCGTACATTACACCGATTTGGTATCGGCCGGTTCTTCATACAAATTAAAATTGGGCCTAACTATCGGTCAACTAAGTCGGTGGTTTTCGCCAAGGCAAATAGAACGCGTACCTAACACGTACTAGAACGCTCACTTAGACTCGTTTGGGTGCGCAGATAAGACAAGAAGTTAATGACTTGATAGAATCAAAAAACTTACCAGGTGGCATGGGCAGGTTCATGATATTACTCTTCTTAGGTTTACTGTCTTGTTTCTTAACTGGACTAGGGGAAGGCGTGCTTAGCGGACTCTCGTTCGCAAGCGTTTTCAGATCTTCGACCTGGAAAAAATAAACAATGATTTAGAAATAAATTTTGCTCATCTTGAGCATGACGTAGAGTAGAACAAACTTTTCTGAACGTGTGCCATGGAGCTTCGTGAGCCCTAGGGTTTCTTACGGTCCCCTTTCGTACTATAAGAAAAGTACAGACATGTGACGTCATCACAGCCGTAATTTCGATAAATTGTTGGAAACCATGCTCGCAACTGCAATGAAAAAAATCCAACTAGAAAGGAAGTGTTGAGACAGTCTTAAAGTAAAAAACTAGTCATCTGATATTAACACTGGTAAGTTTATTATCTGTTAAATTTTTCTGTAAAGGCTTCCACAGACCAAACGCAGGTCAGAAGCAGTGCGGGTGAGTTGCAGCGCGGCTGAGGCACACTGAAAGCAGCGCAGTTTCAAAGCAGTTGCAACGCGGGCGATTGTCAAAAAGCTAAATATTCGAAAACCGCTTTCAACGCGCTGCTACCGCCCTGCGTCCGGTGTGTCATGCTAATATGGCTGCCATAGTAATACAACAGCGCGGGCCCGCGTTCGCGCCGTATCTGTCCCGCGCCGCTTCTGTCCCGCACCCGCGCCGCCTCGTTTGTCGTTCGGCAGTTGCAGTGCGGCGCGGTTGAAGCGCGGGCGCGCGTTCAAATTTGGAGTGACACACTTCAAAGAGTTTCTTGTATTACAACTTGCGCGGGCCCGCATTCAAACTGCGCTGCTACTGCCCTGCCCAAGGCTTAAAACGTTCCTGATACGCCATCAAACCGCTCATGCAAGGTCTCTATCGTGTATCATCAAAACACAAATAAACAAATACCTGAGTGTTAGGCGGCATGGGCAGCTTGGTGAGGCTTTTAGGCTTGGGCGGCGGCGGCTGGCTGTTCTGGTTGTACACGGTGTCCACCACGCTGCCGCCTGCCTTGGGCAGCGGCGGGTTGGGCGGAACCGTCGCGGGCGGCGGCGGCGTTGTGGGCTGTTTCTGGAAGGTTTTTTTTAATAAAGATTATTAGTAATTTGTTACTACACAAATTGCTAATAGTCCCGTTAGCCCCTCGTACTAAGCTAAATATGCTTGTATCACGAGTGAGCTCACCACAATAGTCGAGCGGCGGCGGGGACCGAACCCGCGTTCCCCGGATCACGAGTCGGCCAGTCCGACCCCATCACCGTTGGGCTATCGTAGCTTCAACATACACTTTAAGCTGTGCGTTGGGAGAAAGGATTTGGGACAATAATGCCCGTTTTCACCATCAATCCCAAATGTTTAAGTGAACCCTATGATAACACTTAACAGGCTTTTCGTTTTCATAGAGGTCACTTAAAAATTAGGGATTGATAACACTGCGGAACAAAAAAAATAAAAAAATCTGCGGCATCTATTTTGTTAATGGATTTTGTAAATACTTGTATTAGACATAAATGGTGTGCATTTACTTTCTTTGGATTGACTCTGGTTCTTGAGATAAACGAGACACAAGAAATCAATGAAAAAAATTAAACTACCCTCCCTAAACTTATATTAATTTGACTATACCCACTAAGTTTTATTTTCTACTCATGTATTAGTGTAGTTGTAGTTACAACAATTTAGTAATCAGCTACTAGACCTTGAAATTAACAGTTTGTGTCTTTTAAATTAATTTTTAAAGAGCTTTTTTGTCTCAAAAATATGAGTTCATTATGAAAACCTTGCGTTTACAATCCCAACAGTTTTTGTTAATATTTGGCTTCTAAACTTACAAAAGCAAAGAAATAAGATCACGGAGGTAGTGATAAAAACCTACCAAGCATACTGTCTTATAAAACTTCCATAAAATAATAAATATTGGGGGTCCAATATCGTCTGCAAGACTCGTGAAGACTCTTTGCCATACTGGAGTCAAGCTGGACGTAAAGGACTTCAATTTGGAAAGCCAAAGATATGAACTGAGCTTTCTAATCACTAAAATGATCAAAAGTCAGCCAAATTAAAGTCCTTTACGTCCTGAAACGTCCGTTTGAATACGGAAAAAATAAATTCGATTGACCGCAAATCCGTACTCTTATTAAGACACTGTATTTGTAAACCACATAACACAAATTGAATCTGAAGCATGGCTAAGCTTTGTTTTAGTAATCAAACAATATTTGGGGAGTCATAGAGCACCAGACTTTTCAGAATTGGTTGTTTGAAACATTTAACACATAAGAATCTAATTTGAGTATTAATTTTTTTAACAATAGCCATTTGGACACGTTCTCCCATAATCTGGGTGATTACAGTGAGGAATAAGCAGAACGGTTCTACCAGAACATCAGGATAGTGGAAGAATGATATCCACGGTCAATGGGACCGCCAGATGATGGCTGATTACTGTTGCCATAATTATGGAATTTTCCTGACCAAAACCATAACATAAAAGCTTACAGAAAAAGCTTTTTGTAGTTTTTTTTTCTATTATTTGATGAAAAGCAAACATATTTTGAATTTTTATATCGTTCTTAAATAGGATCTTAGTGTAAATATTTTTTTTATACAGATTGGTATTTTTATTTTGGTTTTTTTCATATAAATAGTTAATAGTATTTATCTCAAGATCTAGAGTCAATTTGACAAAACTAATATTTTTCTAGTATTCAGCACACTAGTCGCATACAGAATTGACTCTAAACTACCATGCCGCAAAATGACTGTTCCCCAGTGTAATGAAAACAGGCATTAGAATCTTATATTACTTGTGATCAGGGTTCGAGGATATATATCAAGGGATATATATGTCAACGTGAAATTGTGAACTCCGTCAGTTTACAATATAACGCGTGAGATTGTAAACTAACAGTGGGTTAGGTTAGGTTAGATTGTAATTTAACTACGTTAGATTATAATCTGACGGAATTCACAATGTTACGGTGACATATACAGGGTGTCCCGTAATGTAACGTCAAGCCGGAACTGGGTGTTGAGGCAAGTTGTGCTGGTTATCAGAAAAATATAAAAAATAATCTATGTGGCATATTTTAAAAATAATAGGCATTTAAAAAAAATCCAAAAATTCTACTCCAGGTGACGGTCCTTTTACTCGTGTTGCCACAAATGTTCACTTTTTCCAAATTTTTTTTTTGTTATGTAACCCTGAATAATGCTTCTCTAAATNATCTAAAGTTGTGGTTCAAAAATGTAGTTCTAACTAAGTAACACTGCCTGCTTCTGTTCTGCTTCTTCTGCTACTGCTTCGGAGATTCAAACCCGCGACCCCAGTTGGCACAAACCACCAGAGAAGTAAAATTATTAAATATTTCTTGTTTACAAATCGGAACATTAATCAAATTACCTTCGCGAACATCAACAATCCAATCCTAAACTTGTCACCTACTAAGTATTCACGGATGTGCCCTTTAACGGGAAACGGTATTCGTTTAACGAACGCAGCGCGCGGTAAATCAGCGGATGTCGGCGACAACAAATGCTGCACGATCATAAAGCTGCCCTGGCCGTGGGCGAGACTGATCCTTGGGTAGGTCTAGGGATGCCAATATGAATACCGGTCAATTCAGCCTAGATAATTTCCGTTCAATATAAATATCGCACAATCGAGCCTAGTTAATTCCTGAAGATAGCTGAATTACTCCCTACACAAGGATACCGGGGGGATTTTAAAAGCTTAAAAGCTCTTGTTCAAAGGTTTTGGGTTGAATTCCCAGCCCAGATGAGTTAGAGAGACTTAAAAAAGTCACTTAGTTTTTTTTCTTCAGTTTTATGAAGATAAATTGAAAAAAGTGTTGTTGTGTTGTGTTGTCTTTCGTACATGTTGATACGATTAAGTCTGTCAGCAGACCCCTATAAACTCTTTTGTCCCATGGTGTGTAATAAAATTGTTTTACTAACTTATTAATCTATATATCAACATAATGCAATCGCAATGTTCTTGGACAGGATGTAAGATTAGTTAATTACCCACTGAATTATTACTTATTTTTGCAATATAATCCGTTGTATCATAATTTGATCTAAATTGAGCAAATCTAGCTTGCCTTGGGAAATGGGCGCATTTAAATAATAGTGGATTAAGTTATTTTACGCTGTAGAGTGGCAACAATACATACCTACGAGTATTTGAGGTGACAATATCCCAACGGTGAAGTTGTCGGACTAATCGACTCGAGATCCGAGGAACGTTGGTTCGAACCCCGCCGCTTCTGGACTATTACGGTGAACGCCTCGTAGCAAATGCATATTTAGCTTACCACGAGGGGTTTTATTCTTATTACGAACAATATATCACTCAGGTGATGATGCAGAAAGAGAGATGGATCATCATCATTTCAGCCACAAGACGTCCACTCATTGGCGTATGTCATGCATGTCATGACACGTCGTCGTCATACGTCCACTGCTGAACATAGGCCTCCCCCAATGATTTCCATATCGCATCGCCCGGTGATAAGAAGATGATGAGAGATGGATACGAAGGCTCAATTTATTTGACGGCTGCTGTACCTACCTGATGATTTGAGATGAGATGATTAGTAATGATGGGTTCAAATCCCGCCGGAGGTTAACGTAAGTGTGATGAAAACTGAGTAACTATCTTATAGTTACACAGTTCCTCTGTGGTTGAGAAGATTAGATTCAGGTAGAGCTTGCTTCCACATTTGGACTGACCTGATCATTATTTCCGTCAGGTGAGATACAGGCCAAGAGCTTCTTCTTAGATAAGAAAAAGTAATTAGATTTTACAGAGAACAGAGAACGAGATTGAATACTGAGAAAGGTACTCTAATAGATATACTTAAGAATATACTTAACACATACGATAAACGTCGAGACCGTGTAAGTGCTTGTTTTCTCCACTAACTTCTTACTTTATTATTTCACAAATTGTCTTTCTTACTTTGTGGCCGGAGGCTGTTATGATAATAAAAATCACCTAGCTTTTACAATGAAGTCGGGAAAAATATTTATCATTATTTCTAAGCCATTTCACGAAATACTCCACTTCTCGGAATTATCCGAGAGTGATTTTAATCAAAACCACTTCATCCAAATTTAGCGTTAGACCACTTTTCTACATTTAATCCTCAAAATACAAAATAATAATAATAATAATAATAAAATTCTTTATTGANCTAAACCGCTTAAGTTAGACGCTTGAAAATTGGCATGCAGGTACCTTAGTAAACGTAAAGCTTAGTTACAACAGGATATTGCAAAATTCCCACGGGAACGGGAGTTAGCGGGAAAAAACATTTGTATGAAAAAATCTAAACCGCGTAAGATAGATGAAGGGGGTAAAACGGGATCCACGCGTACGAAGTCGCGGGCGGCCGCTAGTTAGAACTAAAATGACCTATGAGATTTTGCAAACCACTCAAAACTGTCTTAAATATAGTTTTAAATCACAAGAGAAAGAAACATGAATCCCATATTCCTCTATCACGTCACGCCACGCAAGTATGAAACGGCTTATTGCCCGAAAGGTCTCCTGATTTTGGACCTGATGACATGACACTTTCTTAACTTGGTCATTGTGGACATGTCACGCTCCACAAGTGATTTAAAGGGCCAAGAAATGGACTTAAGACTCCCCGCAGATTACAGAGTTTTAGGCCCATTTTCACCATCAATCCCTAATTTTTAAGTGACTCCTGTATATACAAAATTCCTGTTAGGTGTTACCATATGAATCACTTTAAAATTAGGGATTGATGGTGAAAACGGGCATTAGTCGGCCGATATCCTATAAATTGGGCCCAAATGTTGGGCGGCTAGGCTAATAATTTATCCGTGAGACTTCTCCGAGCTTCCCTACCTTTTCGATGATAAATAAAATGCTCTACAAAACGATTTCCCATGGAAACCTCTCTTCCATCCATATTCCTGTCTCGTCTTGTCCAATCTTCAGCTGTCACTTGGTTTTATATTCAAATTGACAGAAGATCTTTATAACGTTCTCAGAAACGGAGATTTTGCAATTAACGCCTGTCAATTTCAATTTCCTTTA